GTTTGTTATTACTCGGCTGTTTTTCTTAGGCATTTCTTTGTTTGAGACTTTCTTCGGTTTTTGTTGACTTACCCCCCCCCCCCCCAAACTTCATTCTGCGCCATTCTTCCTCTCTTCGCCCCAACAACAATTATTCTTAATACCTAGAAGTCGGCCAATGACTCCATTCCTTCTATTTTATACACTCTAATAGGCACAGCTCAGATTAACCTACTCTTCAAACCATCCATTTTCCTCTCTGCGACGCTCACAGCCGCTGCATACTCAGAACTCCGGCCAAACCCAACGGAGAAGCACAAACCGTGGTGTATACAGTCATGCAAACATCTGGTATGATGAATCAGACCTCTGTGCGCCGTAACCTCTTTCATGGGAACCTCAGCCGCCGACCTGCTTCTGTAGGACCACCTAATGGCACAGTTCCTCAAACCCACGGCGGCCTTTCCAATCGTCCCTCGCACCGACTGAAGCCTACATCCTCGGACTCGGGGCCACATACTCGACCATTCAAAAATGCGGAAAATAAAGATATTGTGGTTCGGGACAAGAATGGCAGCTACAAGCTTGAGATTCCAACATTGCCGCAGGTTCTGGTTGGAGAGGACGGCGAGGAGCTAGCTGAACTTGCACCAGAGGGTGGAAGATTCAATTCTTTGGAACTCAATGGGCGTGACAAAGATAGTATGCTTTTCTACACGCTGTTTTCCTCTGAAGCATAGTCTGCTAATATTGACACAGAGTTTGAGGCAGCTCTCGTGGAGATGATGGTTCGGCACCGGACCAGACAATCAAACGGTGAACCCGATGGTAAGTTACAGTCAGATTGAGTCCGACAGTCCTATATGTGATCATATACTGATACGAAACAGAGATTCTGAGTATGGTGCAGGAAAGCCTACGCAAAAAGGTAGCATCACTGGATGAAGACAATTGGATGTTTGAGCCGGAGAAGGACTTGGTTTCTAACTAGAGGGCTGCGCTTGCTGCATGCATCCTGATCTCATTACACTATCAGTCGGATATGTTTCCCGTAAAGGCCTGCTTCAAAAGACCCACGCACATCTGGTCTCTCTTAATCAAGCTCCATGCTCGATGGCGGTGCCTCAACCTTCTTCACAGCTCTGGATTGCGATGCTCCTCTGCCACCTGTCTTGTTCTGACCTCCTCCGAACAACATACCGCTCATCATGTCCATCAATGGGTTTCCTTGCCGGGGAATCTTGATGGCGAAGTACTGCTCGCCAATCTGAGCCAGAGCATCGTCCCAGATACCAACTTCTCGAATTTGTGCTGCATAGTGTGCAGTGAGCTGTCGGAAGAGATCGGCACTTCCGCGCTGGATGGCCAAAAGCAACATGGTGATGAAGTTTACCAAAGGAAGGGCAGGGAACACCCGGGCGTCGGAGCTGGCACTGCTGACTTCCTGCACACCGAGCTGAGGATTAGCCGCTGAAAGCCGCGAAGTGAAAATAAGCAAGGCTTTATTCGCGCTGCGGAGATTTCCGGTGAGGAGGTATGGGAAAACTGCGCGTGACGCATAGATCGCTGCGGTGTGTGGCTCATCGTTGGTGTACCATTCATATTCGAGCTTTGCGAGAGTCTCGGCTGATTCGGAGGTTCCTAGAATGAGATGTTTCTCGGCATCGTATGGCTCGTTATCTGAGGCATTAGATTAGTATGCACCAAACATTGCGCTCCGACATCACTTACCTTCGGCGTATACTGAACCAACAGCATGATGTAAATCGGCATCTCCTCGTTCCAGTGGTCCGAACTTTGCACTCCATCCAATTATTTCTTGGATGAACCTCTTTCGTGTAGGTTCATCTGACGGGAATTCGCGTAGCAACTCGATCAGGCGCTCTGAAGAACAAAGATATACAAGTTAGCAATGTTAGGCCTGTAATAGCTACTGGGGTAACCTGAAGCACCAAGCTGCAGTAATCAACCCCAGTAGTAAAAAGATACTTGATAGACTCACTCTTCCGAGCCCGACCCTCTGCATCATCATTACCGCCTGAGATCTCCCATTCGGCTTTGTTGTATACTTCAAGCACCAACATGATGGCCAAGTCCCCACCACTGGCCGAGGCACCCTGCCGAGAACCAGCTTTCAATAGCTCCTTCGCGCCACCAGCCAGGATCTCCGCTGCAGCATCGTAGTTGGACTGCTTGATATACCGGGCAGCAATAACACGTAGTTGTTGGTGAGCTTCGTAGTAGGCGCCATCAGCAATCCTACAGACAACGACATAAGTCAGAACCAGATCTTTTGAAGTCCAAGGTGATTATGGATTCTCACTTTTCTCGCTGGCGGGCGATGACCTTATCAATCCGGGATGACATGGTCGACTAGAAGGAGGCGCCGAGGGATTATATCAAAGAAAAGTAGAATCGAGGACCCTATCAAGCAGAGTGCGCAATGCAAGAACGTTCGCGAGGAGTTGGTTGAGATTTGGTGGGGACACGGCAGTTCGCCCAGGGCCCTGGAGAACATGACATCTCCGTCATCTCCTCAGAAATACCTTATGGTTGCTTTGTAGCTGAAACTGCTTTTGTTTTTACGTGGAATCTGCTATTTCTACTATTTGGACTCTGTTCGTTTTATTGACCCCTTGTTTCCGGCGATATTACGATGATACCACGCCATTACGGACATCCCTAACGACTATACAGCTACCTAGCTAGTCGCGACAATCCATATCAAGGACCAAGCAATCGCTCTTCTTGATTCAGCCATGTCCATCACCCAATAGTGCGCCAAATTCATCATGAACCGGTCCACATTCAATATCCAGCCCCTGCACCGCTTCCACAGCGCAAATACCTCTATCCGGAGACCGAGGGTAAGCCAAAGACCTAGTGCTATGTCAAACAAATGAAAATGAATCGCTCACCTGCTGCTAGGAAATCGCTTGCTTCTCTTATGATGAAAATCGTCGTTTTTCGCTGGGCGATTCGTCCATGGCCTACTACTACACGCCGGCTCTCCCTGCAGACCTGAATATAGGCTATGAGACATTCCAGAAGCTCAATGATGTCCCGGATGAGCACTTAGATGCTTTACTTGATACCCTTGTTGCTCATGAGAAAGAAACAGAGAAGAAGTGCGATGTAGACATCGTCACATGGAGAGGAATGATGACCAAGGTGTGTTGAATTGAAGTCTATCGCGGACTATCATCCGGTTTGGAACCAAATTCTTACCTCTATTTGCAGATTCTCACCGCTCCCTTTGATAATATGAATGGGTTTGTAACCATGATATATTCCAAACATAGCGTGCTGTCTCTCTAACCCCAGGCTATCTCTAGCTTCGAGATGAATGCAACTTGTTTCCAGGTACGATATCAGTCTCAACAAGATTTTCCAGATTCCATGATCTAACATCTATCAAAGGGTACCATGTGTGTATACCTAGCTAGCAAGTTCACAATATAAGGTGTTGACTTGTTCTAGATTCATTGAGGAAAACAACGAATACAAAAACCAACAGAAAGAGATCCAACGCAAGCGAGGATCGCCACCTGGAATGGCACCACAGGAACTCATGATGTATTGGGGTGTGTCAAACAACCCATGGAAATGTGTATAGACTAACAACCCTAGGCTATAAATTCGAAAAGCTGGCTGTACTTCCGAAGACGTGGGATGAATCAACCCGTGAAGAGATCGAAGGCCGCCAGAACGAAGTCGTCAACAATGCAGCACAGTATTGCTCGGTTGTCCGCACTGGGATCGGTAACGTGCGTATGATTCTTGGTGGAGAGGTTGATGCCAGTATGTTTACCTTGATTCTCGTGGCTATACCTAAATCTAACTTATGTTCTAGTCTGGGACAGCAAGCCATCGCGAAAAGAAAGCCCCATCAACTGGGTTGAGCTGAAGACATCAGCTCAGATCTGCAATGAACGTGATATGATCAAGTATGAGCGGAAATTGCTCAAGTTTTGGGCACAGTCATTCCTGCTCGGTGTGCCTAAGATTATTGTGGGATTCCGTGATGAGAATGGTATTTGCCATAGCTTGGAGGAGCTAGATACAGCTAGCATACCCGGGAAAGTGTTGAGCGTCGGCCGGCGTTCTTGGGATGGAAACGTCTGCATCAATTTTACTGGTGCATTCTTGGAGTGTGAGTGTTCTTTTTCGTGAAGTCATAGCAGCACTGACACACCTCCCAGGGCTGAAGCAGACTATCAACCAGGAAGGGACGTGGAGAATTCGGAAGAAGGAAAAATCTCCGGTCATCGAGGTCTATCAGGTTGAGGAGCAAGGACATGGCGATATTATCTCACCTGCTTTCAAGGCCTGGCGGTCGACCACGACCAATGCGAGTTCGTGATTGGAAGGTCTAATGTATGATAGTCAGTACTAATGTATTTCATTGCTTGAGTCTCATTGCAATAAATGAAATATTGCACAGGCACATCCATTGACCTTACGAGGCGAGCGGCTGTCCAAGGGATCCCCCAAGCGACTACCTGCACCTGAGCTTTACACGGAAGATTTTCCCTGGCTGTTGAAATAGCAGAAGACTTTTGGGTATTTCTATGTCCTTAAATATCTTTGACTATGCAATGCGATAGCTCATGACCCAGGTTCGGTTTCAGGGGCCTGAATCCCCTGAGCTTCCAATTCCTTCTTTCGGAAATATTCATCTCGCTGTGCCCTCTTCCTCGCAGACTTGAGTCCCCTTTTATGCTGATGACTATTTAAATGAATATGCCACTGGTCCTCGGATGCCATTGTCTTCTGGCAGACGTCACAGGTGTAGCACTTCCCGATAGGGTCTGCCTGCACACGCTTTTCCTGGGCTTCCTTCGCGCTGAACTCCGCCGTTGCTAACTGAGAAAGCGATTTGGGATCGGGGGTCAGCTTATTTTGCTGCATCAGTTGCATAATCTCTTCGGACGGCTCAGTGATGCACTTGCTCCAGTCGCTGACATTGGAACTGTCTAGGAGATAAAGACGACGTGTCTCTCCGACTTCTGTGAGTGCTTGCCAGAGTTTATTGCGGATCCATTTGACCTGCGATGTTCCGTACTGTCGTGTGGCGATCCGAATTAATTCAAGAGAGTTTCGTTTGAGATCTTCGATTTCTTTCTCGCTTGCTTCCCCGTCCCGGATAGCCTTGAAGTATGGCGCCAATTCCTTGAATCCAATGGACACCCAGACTCCCCGTGTTTGGTCAACTTCAATTCCCTGCGAGGCTTTCTCCTGCAAGTAGTTCGACATCTTCTCCGCCTCGGTCATCAAGCCCTGCTTGACCATGTCATCGACGCGCGCATCCAGGCGTGCGTTGAGGACCTCCTTCTCGGCATGGACCCAAAATACCAATGTATTCTCGAACCGTAGCAGCCCTTCCTCCTGGTCTATCGCCTTTCTCTTTTGAGAGAATTGCTCTTTATAAATCTCCGATGCTCGCCGCCCTGTCTGAAAATAGATTTCTAATGACCGCCGGATTTTCCGTGCATCTCTCGGGTGCCATCGCGCAGCCATAACGGGATCCACCTCGCGCAGCTTCTCCAAGACAACTTCAGGCGACGAATCCAGAATCGGCCATTTATTCGAGGTTGTGCTAAACTCCATGAGCTGTTCCCGCTCGCCTTCGTCGTCCACCCCCTCGCCCACAAGCTGTTCTTTGAACAGCACTGCTTGGGTATAATAGTGGGTGCCACCAACAAGAATGGGGACCTTGCCACGGGCGTGGATGTCTTCAATGACTCTCAGGGCTTCTCGTTTGAACAGTCCTATGCGCCATGCTTCCGCGTCTAAGTCGATACAACTGAGGAGGTGATGAGGGATACCGTTCCGTTCCTCTATCGGGATCTGGTTCGTTATGATCGGCAAACCGCGGTACATCTGCATTGCGTCGCCATTGATGATTTCACCATTGAATCGAGAGGCCAAGTCCACTGCAAGCTGTCTACAGCTATCAGTCATTGTGTTCGGAGGAAGTTTTGGAGGTACCTGGAGTCATTACCTTTGACTTGCCTGTGCCTGTGGCGCCCACGACAGCTATCAGCGGATTCATGATTGTTTGACCGTGCCAAATAGATCTGAGAGCCGACAGCATACCGCGATGCTCCTTGCAACGACGTGGGGGAAAAAGTTGTTATCGGTTATCAAGCGGGTTACCTCAGCCATGGCGTCCCCAACCCCTCAGGGTCGTCTCATCTTACAATGAGCTAACATCAAAGCAGTCTAGATAAGTCTGGATTGATAACCTTGTCTGCTTCATTTTTATCTCCTTCTTCTCAAACTTGTCGAGTTTGCTTTTTTCTCAGTGCTTTTTTTTCTCACACATTCGTCATGGCGGATACCAATTCCACTCCCCCATCCATTGAGGTACAAAACCTCTCGTACAAGTTCCAAGATGGCTCCAGTGGCCTGGAGAACGTAAGCATGAGCTTACCAGCTGGAAGCCGCACCCTATTGATCGGCGGTAAGTCAAATCCATTTCCATTTCAGACTAATCTTGACGACTAACCAAAACACAGCAAATGGAGCGGGGAAAACCACCCTCCTCCGCCTCCTATCAGGGAAGCGCCTTGCACCCAATAACACCATCGCCATTGGTGGTAAGGACCCCTTCAAGGACAGCCTAGACGGCGTAACCTATCTGGGAGTCGAGTGGGTGTTGAACAGCATCGTCCGCACGGACATCGATGTGCCGACGCTTCTCGCCTCTGTCGGTGGAAATGCTTATCCAGAGCGCCGGGACGAGCTGATCGATATCCTCGATGTCGATCTGCGCTGGCGTATGCATGCCGTCTCGGATGGAGAACGCCGCCGCGTGCAGCTGGCCATGGGCTTGCTGCGGCCGTGGCAGGTTCTACTGCTCGACGAGATCACTGTCGACTTGGACCTTTTGTCCAGGAGCAATTTCTTAGCTTTCCTAAAGCGAGAGACTGAGACCCGCGCCTGCACTATTGTTTATGCTACCCATATCTTGGATAACCTCGCCCAGTGGCCTACCCATTTGGCCCACATGCACTTGGGCAAGGTCAAGGCGCTGGGTAGTGTTGAGTCGTTCCATGAGGAAGTTCCCGCGTGGACTTCGGAGAATAGTCGTCTTGGAGAGCTGGTTCTTAAGTGGCTCAAGGAGGATATGCAGGCCAGAGGTCCCCGGAATGATCGCGGTAATCAGGCCAAGACCTACCAGTCCCTTGAGGGTATTGGAGGTTACGGACTGGAAAAACACGACTGAGGAGAAAGATATTGATCTTTTCTTATTTTTCCCGTTTTCTTTCCTGTTTTTTTCTTTTTTTTTTTGCATGCTAGCACTGATGTCGGGAGTCATGTAACGTGCCATTCAACAACAATTCGGTTCAACCACAAGGCATACACGGGGTTATAGGTTGGCATCTGCATCTACAGGGTCTATTCAACATTTGGGAGTTTTCAACATCACAACTCAGGCTAGAGATATGTTTCTTTCTATACAAATCATGAGAGTATGTCCGAGAATATATACGTGTGGACATAGTCCTCACTTGGTAGTTCTAACTGATCCCTGATCTATGATATCGAGTCATGAGATATAAAATAGGTACAAGCATACCTATAATCTAAATATGAAGTTGGTCTAACAAGATACCATAGACGTTCTGTACTTTGATTCCACTTTGTTTTCGTAGATGTCTTCGCAAATGCCTTCCAAAATGTTTGAATAGACCTCGTAAAGCCATAGATTGTGTGTTTGCCTGCCACATCAGAATGTGAAGGCGGTCATGATCTCTTTATATCTTTCTCTCCTTCCTCTATCTGTCTCTTCTATTTCTATTCTCTCTCTCTCTCTCTCCCTCGCACACACACCCCCCAAGACCAGAACAACCCCGGACCCTCTCAAGGCCGGCTTCTTTGCATTTTGTCTTCTCTTATTTCAGGGAAGTCACAATGCCTGACAAGGGCAAAAAAAGAGTAGCAGTAAGTGAAACCAAGTCGCAAGGTTTTTGTCACGTTGAACCTTGTTGAAGCGTCTGTTTATCCCCTACCAAAGGAGGTAATGTCGACATAGACTGACTAATTGAAAAATAGCAATGGTGCACATTTTGTGAGATAGAAGGCCACACCCAGGAGGAGTGCCATCGCTGGGCTGCCTGTCTGAGAGACACGGCCATGGCCAATAACATCTCCATGATGGCAGCATACAAGCCCTCCCAGGTAAAGCCACCCTATAGGACATTCTAGGAGTCATCTTATTAATGAGTCTTTGGTAGAATCAGAAGACCAACCCCCACAAGAAGACTCATCGTAGCTACCGTGGTGGTCAAAATCGCACAGGTATGTAATCTTCATACACCCAACCCTATCTTGGGCTTGATTCCTTGGAATATGTGGTTTGCCTTGCAATCGCCCTTGAAACAAGCGAAATCAGTCATTTGACACCACTTGATTAGTGGATGGCATCAAGAACCATCGAGACATGTCCTAACAATGCGTACTTAGCCCGCAACAACCTCCCTCCTCGCCCTTCTTCCTTCGCCCAGTCTGGTATGTGAACCTTCTCAATTTATAAAATCCGGTTCCTTTCTATATACCTCCGAGCATCGTTTTTCTGGTTTGAGCTGTAGGCTCGTCCTGCGGTTGTATTCTATGGGTTCGGCTTATAGGTTTAGCCTAAGTATTCGGCCTGTACCTGCTACTGAGATGATCTGTCAGTTCAACGTTACGATGTTTGAATTGTGCATTTATAGCTCAACCCCACCCCCAACATCTATAGGGCTTACTCTAAATATTGTTCAAAGGACATATGCTAACTTGTAGGTGATTCTAGTGGGCACCATTACCGCTACTCGGGGTAGCTCTAGCGTGGAGCCTGACCTGCTTTCGATATTAGTGCAGGTCTCTCGGTCCGAATCAGAGCTTCTCCTTCGGTTCCTAGAGAAAATTAGGGGAGATGGAAGCGCCGACTTCGTAGAGAATCTCTTGATTGGGGACGAACCAAAACAGGAGGAAACCACCCAGGGCCCCTGTAAAGAATCTGGTAGTGATGAGGTCAAGAAGGAGGCTTAGTTTCTCAACGGCATACGATGTTCTTTTTTCACCTTGGAGTAATTTAATGACCCTGCATGATGTTCCTTCACTTCCCACGTACAACAACATATATTTCGATAGTTTTGTACGAATTGTACATTGGTTTGCGTCTGATATTAAATAGACATTTACAGACATCTCAAAGGATCTCAAAGGATTACCGAAGGGACATCTATCTACAAAGACATTAAAAGGATATCTCAACCATCATGACTCATAAAGGGCGGCTGCCTAGGTAAAACTATCTTGGTTCTCGTATAAATCATGAGAGCATGTTCGAGATAGCATATATCCGTGTGGACGTGTCTTCACTTGCCACCGCCAATTCGAATCGATCTCTGCTATCCTCTGCAGCCGGCACTGGTCGCCATGATAATTGAGTAATCGTCTTTGAGGGCGAGACCTCTTTGTCAATGGTCACGACGTGCTGTGCTTCGAGGGTATCAGCAGCACTCCGGTGGATGGAGATGACACCATTATCCTCGCCGACAGCAATAACGTATGTGCCTTTGTATATTATGGGCAAGAAAGCAATTTCTGAGACGGCCGATGTCAGGGCCACGGTCGTTTTGCAAACGAAAGTGTCTTCAGACTTTTGCCAGATCTTCACAGATTTGTCACGTCCTGCCGTAGCAAAGACATAGTCTGTTGTAGCTGGGGCCCAGGCCGCACCTAGGATCATTCGAGAGTGACCCTTAGGGTTCAAGCTGAAGTTTGTAAAGGTAGTTGGGTCTGTATCGCTCCGCTGGAAGACCGCCCATTGGCGATCTCGTCCAACACTGAGAAGATAACGATCGTCACTCGAGAATGAGAGGTCCGTGATGGTTAACGAGTGCGCAGTGAGAGAAGGCTTGATCTCATGCCAGTCTGACGTATCGTAGAGGCGAATTACCGCATGGTCAATCGAGCTGGCCTTGCAGGCAGTAGCAATGAGCCTACGGTCATGGCTTACTGCCACTGCTGATATCTCATAACCATGGCCATAGAGCTTTTCATGCTCCGGCCACAAGGTGTAACGAGACAACTGGTCCTCCAGCGGCGGGTGGTTGGCAGCTAGCAAGGCAGAGGCGACTGGCGCCTCAGTTGGGGCTTTTTCCCCGTCCTCTTCCACTGGTGCCTCATCTCCAAGTGCCTTGTTCGAAAGACCCAGCACTGGAATCTCAGCAGTGTCTGGGAGGTCCTGATCATTCGATTGTTTGAACCCAGTGAGTCTCTCGAGCAACTGAGCAATTTGTTTGGGCTCGTTGAACACACGCAAGAGCTTCTCCTCTGCACCAGTCACGAACTGTGAGGGACCCAGAGTATCGACACAGTTCAAATCGTACCCATGAATCTGAGGGCGGGAAAATTCATGCCATGAACCTGTATTTCCCCGTACCCACTTTGCATGAAGCCGCGTGGTTTGGTCTGAACTCGTTGAAAGCAGGTAGCCTCCAGTGGGCTCCCATTGTAAACCGTTTGCGGAGCGCACATGACCCGAAATACCAAACCTCTGTACCCAAATATCCGAGTCGGACTCAAGTCGCCAAACTCTCCAACTTCCTGTCCGGCCAAGACTTACCACCTGCCTCCCATCTGGTGACCAGAGCCCAATCCAGAAGCCACCTGCACTACCAGTCGCCGTGGTAGATCCTTTTTGGACACTGATCTCTCCCATTCTCTCTGTGGACATCCAGACGCCTGATGCTTGGTCTTGTTCCCAAATTGTGATGGTATTATCAGCCGATGCCGAAAGAAGTTGCTGCCGCTTCGAATCAGGATTCCACGCAATAGTATAAATCCAATCTTCATGCCCAAAGAGAAGAGCCTCGAAAGTAATTGAGTATTTCGATCCTGCAGCCTCAAACTCATGGGCTTTGTTCGATAGCGTAGGCTCCATTCCTCCAAGCAGAGGATCTGTATCGTCTATTGGAGCAGGTACACTTGCTTCACCCCGACGAAGTCGCCAGAGACGGATGTATCTGTCTTGACTTGCAGACGCTAGCAGGATATCGCCGTTGCTCTGCTTGTCCTGAGTGAACGCAAGAGCCTTAATCCAGGCTTCATGTCCCCCAAGTACGGCCCGATGCTTGAATTCTGGCTTGCCGATGGAGGTTTCCGAGACGTAAATATGAACCTTGGTCGTTGTACCTGCAACGGCCAACACCAATGGCTTGTCCGAGTCGCCTTCAAGTCCCTGCAATGATAGAGATAGTGGGAAGAACCTTGGTACCATTGTGATCATTTCAAGTAGCTCGCATTTCAACCCATCCTGTGCATTTATTCTCCAGGTCCGGACCGTCCCATCAGCCGCTCCAGATGCGATGATATCCGTTCCATCGGCGACAGCAATCGCATTCACGGAGCCCGTGTGACCCTCAAGGGTAGATGCAAGTACATAGTTGTGGGGATCGGCATCGTCTTTTTTCCATACCCGTATTGTGCGGTCGACGGAGCCGGTGACGATAAATCTCGTTCCTGAGGCGGGGCATGTATAAAATCGAACGACGCTGACTTTGTCGGTATGGCCCACAAGCAGAGCATGGATGCCACGATCATTCTTGTCCTTGGTTAAGTGTCAGCTTGTCGTTATCAATGCGCAATTGTTCTCAATAGACCTACTAGAGGATCCCATAAGGCGACATTGTTGTCCGCACCGAAGGCGAGCAAGCCTGTCTGCGCATCCCAATCCGCGGCACCAGGGTGCCGGTTTCCCCCCACGCTGATATATTCTGTGTCGACGGCGACCATAGAGTACTATGAGGGCTTATGAACCCTTTGTCTGTCTGTGCTGCTGTACTGGGGGAATCAATTGGAGGAAAGCCGCAAAGAAATTGCGGGAAAATTGGGGCTTATCGATAAGAGGTGTCTCCGCCTAGCCCCTCCATCTTCTCAACAGACTCGACTTGTGATCTCTTTACATTCTTCTCAATAAGCAGAGATAACTCCTATATGCTCTATATTCACCTTCGTCTACAACGCCATGGCTGATACTTCAAATGCGGACCAGGGAGAGTTCCCCATCTCTATCACCGTCGAGTTTACGTACGTCAAATCTTTCCTTCAATTGATCAAGCTCTGCTGATAATTGATTCTTCGATAGCGGCGGCTTAGAATTGCTATTCGGAAATGAGCGTAAGCATAAGGTTGTTCTGCCTGCTCGTTTAGAGGACGGCAGCCGGCCAAACATCTCATACCTGCTTAAATACCTGGTCAACAACCTCATGAAGGATCAAAGGATAGACATGTTCATCATGGAGGACAATGTGTATGTCAACATAACTTCGGGGGTTGAACAGTATTAATGGTTCGACAGACGACCAGGAATTCTCGTCCTCATCAACGATGCCGATTGGGAACTCGAAGGCGAAGAGACATATGAACTTCAACAAGGAGATAACATTGTTTTTGTCTCAACTTTACATGGCGGTTAAACATGATTGATTGTATTGATATTATCAACGCAATTAAGACAAAAAAAAACTTGATTCGAAGTGGGCTGGAAGAATGTGAGGGCAACATAAAGCGTGGACTTTTACCTAGACCACATCTTCAACATGCTGTTGTGAGATCCGTTCGCGCTCACGCGGTGTTCGGATTCCACTGGGTGTTCGATGACCACTCTGTGGGGTTACTTGACCATCTGGGCTACCAAGCCCTTGCGCCGGTGATACCACCCCACTTGGGGGCACTGGGATCTTCAAATCCTCTGGAGAGGCCGGGATAATCTCTTCGGGGAGGTCGGGGATATGGATTCGCTGTGCCTCGTTCTGATAGCTCTCGGGAAGGATCTGCAATAGTGTCAATTAACCATAGATATTAATCCAACCCAAAGTCCAATTTACCTCAATGATCTCATCGCGAGGGAATTCAAGGAACGGAATGTCTGCAGCATTGCAGGCCATGAGATAGCCATACAAAACCCTCAAGACACTCTCGTGTGCAATGATGAGCAGATCGGTTTGCTCCCTCTCCAATTCAAGAATAATTGGCTCGAGGCGAACAGCCAAGTCATGATAGGACTAGTGCAAATGGTCAGCAGTTACACACTTTGAGGGGGGGTTGGTCAAGGCCTACCTCTGCCCGTGGATAACGGTGGTGGTAGGGATCAAGCTCGTGCTTAGCAACCTCGTCACCAAACTCTGCTCGGATACGATCCTCAGACATCTTCTCACAAACACCAGGGTTCAGTTGGCTCAATTGGGACCTCTGTCGGACTTTATATCCGTTTTCATGGAAGTACTTTGCGGTTTCCACTGTTCTGCGGCGTGTGGAAGTCCAAACCTTCAAGGGCCTTGACTCATAGCCAGTCTCTCCTCGTTCAATCATTGCTTGCTTTTCTTCTTCCCGGTGAGCTAGAAGACGTGCCGTCATTTTCTTGGCGTAGTCTTCCCCCTGATCCGATAGCGAAGTATCGGCTTTGTATGAACCTGCGTCTAGCGAAACGCCAGCCTAGGTAAAATGTCAGGATTTTTGCATCGTACAATATGGACTGTAGGTGACCTACCCGAGCGAAGTACGTGCGTCTCGATTTGATATGGAGATTTAGAAGATAGAAGACGATACGGTTAGAGAGATAACCGAAGCTTCGATTGTTGACAATCAATCTCTCGCCGGCATTGATCATCTGTATTTGGGTGAGTAATGGGAATAGGAAAGAATCAATTGCGCGTACCTTGATAAAGTTCAAGTCCTTTTCCTCCATGGTCTGGAATTGGGGGATCCGAGAATAGATACGGTTCAAGTAATGCTTCACGGCATCTTCTGATTTCCACGAGACGTACTAGCATAGTTTGTCAGTTTCCATTCAATGCCAATATATACATGAGACTCACATCAGGGGAGGAGATCTTGACTCTGCGAACATTCTCTTCAATGATGCGTTCGTCGTCACACCACGACTCAATGAACAGGGTCTGGTAAAAGATAATTAGTCTATTGTCAAAGATTCAAATGATCAACTCTGACTTGCCTCGATATCATGCTTCGCAAACTCCTTGGCAAGCGAGCGCCGTCCTGAGACTAGCGGGTTGACGGCATCATATATCGCTATTTGACCATTTTCATGATTCAAAAAGTGATAGATGTCTTCTCGGCATTTTCTCACAATCTTTTGGCGTAGAAGAACGGACTTGGCAGTCGCTAAACGGAAATGTCAATATGGTCATTCAGGTAGCTCAGGATACCATGCCTACCATTGACATAGAAATAATCATCTGGCATGTCCTCGCCAAATGGAATTGTGGCACGACGGTAGTCGCCTAGATGGAAGATTCTGGTTTTGACACCAAGCCTATCAATGCATCAGCATACCTGTAAATGCGCAAATCACAGGAGTAAGGCATACCATCGCAGGTATCGTGCCAAAGCTACTGAGATATGTCTGTCATAGAGTTGTAATTAGTTCACCGCGCAACACTAATCTCAATGTTAAGAAGTTTCATACGTTTTGCCTCTGGCAGGCAAGCCGACGGTAATGATCACAATGCGGCCCGAATGGAAAAGCCGACCAGATTCGGTGCTGTACAGCTGGGCCGGAGCCAAATCCGCCTTTTCCGGCAAGTCATGAATTGCATCGACAAAGATTGAGGACTTGCGACGGAATCGTGGGGAGTTGGCCACAATCTCAGCGGTGCTATATGATGTCAGTTCAAATCCACATCAGGCTACACTCTTCGGCCAGGGTATGGCTCGTGCTTTCTCTTCTTCTTTTCTCCTTTTTCCTGACATTATTGTCAAGCAAAAAGCACACACAAGACAACATTTCAACTCTCATGGAGAAGACATGAGATTGGGAAGAGGGAAAGGCAGGCTTACAGTAAAGTGTCCATGGTGGGATGTCGAGGTGGCGCAACCTTGAGATGTTGAGATATCACAAGATTCAGTATCCAGCGTGTCAGGGGTATCGATCGATAGCTCTGAGAGAGACCAGATATTCCTAGTCACGTCAGCCGATGGCAAGACAGTGAAGGGAGCGAGAAACAAGGAACAAGGAAGGTACCTGAGAGGCGGTATAGGTAATCGATTAAGGCTCAGATAACTATCAGGTGCAGCTCATGGGCTTTTATTTGCCTCGTTTTTCAGGCTGCAATATGCAAAGTGATGCAAGCACAATTCCACACCAAATAGAATGGAAAAGAAAGAAGCACACTGCAAAGATCAATTGATATCAGGTCAAATCCCCCCAATCCTTCCCAATCCCTCCGGTCTTGCCTGAACCGGGAGAGCCCGAAGCAGCTTATGTAATATCCCGGTGAACGGCAGCAACCAAAGACGCCGAGGCAGGTGACTAGCATTTTTCACAGCTTAGAAGTCTTGAATTGCTTCTCCTACACTCCCGAGCGCATCAGATCCAGCCCTTTTTACTCTATTTTATCAAGGTCATCTGAGACGTTTGTTCGTCCCAGATCCTCGGGCTGGTCTCAATCCCTTTTATTCTCTATTCTTTTGTGTTTTCCCCCGAGTCTCAATTGAGACCGAGTAACACGCGTGACGACACCTAATTATTCGTCAATTATCAGATTTCAACCAAAATGGCCGATTACCTATCATCTCTCTCCTTTCTCACAGAGAACCCTGCCGCTGCGGCTATTAACGATGCATACTCCTCGTTCTCCGACCGAAGGGCCTTGCTCAACCTACCCAACCCCGGCACTGTCGATAACCTGGCCAGGGAAGTGCAGAAGGATGTTCTATTGACCAACTTCATGTTCTCCGGTCTCCGGGCAGACCTGACCAAGGTCTTCGGCATGTCCCCTCTTTTCCGTGTGTCGCATGCCTTCTCTATGGGCTCAACCGGCAATCTGCCTCCATATGCTTTCTCCGCCATGTACGGAAGCCCCAGGGTAAGGACAACTATTCCATGCGATGCCGATCACCACAAATATCAGTATTTAACATATCGTCCCCCGATAGGTGTTTATGCAGGGTAACTACGGAAGTGACGGTGCCCTCGCCGCCGTCGCCAACTACCGCTGGAACCAGGCCCTTGTCACCAAGACCAATGCTCAGATCATGAACGGCGGTAGCCAGGGCTTGGTCCAGATAGATAACGACTACACTGGCCGTGACTTCTCCGCGTCCCTCAAGGCCTTCAACCCCTCTCTCCTCGAGGGTGGTCTCACCGGTATCTTCGTCGGCAGCTACTTGCAGTCCATCACCCCCAGCCTCGCTCTTGGTTTCGAGGCTATCTGGCAACGCCAGGCCATCACCGCTCGCCCCGAGACAGCTCTGTCCTACTCCGCCAAGTATAAGGGTGAGGACTGGATTGGTACCGCTCAGCTCCAGGCCCAGGGCACTTTCAACGCCACTTACTGGCGCAAGCTGTCCGAGCGTGTTGAGGCTGGTATTGACATGAACCTCCAACTCCAACCCTCTCCCGCTACTCTTATGATGGGTGGTCCTTCTCGTGACGGTACCACTGCCATTGGTGCCAAGTACGACTTCCGTGCGTCTTCGTTCCGCGCCCAGGTTGACAGCACCGGCAAGGTCAGCTGTCTCCTTGAGAAGCGTATTGCTATGCCCATCTCTCTCTCCTTCGCTGGTGAGATCGACCAGGCCAAGGTAAGCGACATATCTTTTTTAAATTCCTATTGATGTCAATGCTAATTATCTTCTTTTCTTTCTAGCAAACGGCCAAGCTCGGTCTTGCTGTCTCCCTTGAGCTTGCTGGTGAGGATGTCATGGAGCAGCAGGACAAGGTTGACCCTGCTACCATGATCCCTCCTCCCTTCTAAATCTCTCCTCTCGCATCGCCCGAGATAATAACCCTTTCACCCCCCATGTTTTAGTAGTTCTTCACTCTCATGTCTGAAATGACATATGTTTGTCTCTCTTCCTCGGTATATCCTCTTGAATTTGGGTTGCTGGTGCAGGTGGCCAGTTGTTTGGCGCCCTGGAGATTCCAACGTTTTTTTTGTATAGATTCACACTCCGGTTCTTTGATTTCCTTTTCCATTACCACCTGATGCTGCATCTCTGTTTGGCCTGTGGTCTGATATCTTGTGTCTCCTTGCTATCTTTCCAGTTCATTTCCTTGCATGGCCATGTTTTGGGTCTATGGGATTGCCAGGCCTGGGATGCATGGCTGCGCCTGCAGATAGCTCTGGTTATGTTTTTCGCATCATAGAGGGGCCAATGTAAAACAAGTTTTGATTTAGTTGAGTTTGGTTAAGTTGAGTCAATTGTAATGATTTCATTGTGAAGTGTTTCTTGCTAAGGATGTCCATGGTGCGGTCAACTCTTTGTCCATGTGGATCAATGTATACTCCGTAGTGAACTATGCGTTGGCATTGCCAAAAATCAGACCATTCAACATCTATATTGATCTTTCTTTGAAGGAATTTTCAATTATTTCTCATAACTAAAGACAAAGCTGTACTTCGTACTTTATCCGCAGATATCAAACAAGACACAAAGCGGAGAGGAAAATAGTCCCGGATAATGCCCGCATACACCCAAAGCGGTGACCGGGACGAACGATGGCATTTTCCAAGACAAATCAGACGAATCCATCCAACATCGCTCCACTATATGCAGTGGGCACTGGAGCACCTCCTGCAATTGGTAGACGACTCCGGAGTGCAGCAGTGGCCTTATGCATCTCCTAGAATGGGAACCGTCTCTGCTTTCTTCTCCACTTCATTATGGGACTAAGTTTCTCGATAAAGTGGGTTCGTTTATATGTTGGGTCTCCCATGTTTCGCTCTCGAAAATGATACGGAGGGTTATTGTGGGGTGTTTGTCCTGGAATAGAAAATGAGGTACGGTGCAGACGAGATTTAGGCACGGTGTGCTATGGCACTTTCGCTCCCATATGACATGTGGGATCTTCAGCCACTTACTCCATATTCCAGCCCGATGGCAGTCGTAGATGGGCCATACGCACCCAGTTCCCTGCTTGGAGTGTGGCTGGGTTGGAGTGCTGCCTCGCTATTGGAAGTCCCGCGGTTGATAGTCGTTCAGACGCTAATTATCTGACTCCAGTGACATCATATTCCCCGTTCCACCCTCTTTTTAGGGCTTTGTCCTTTTTTTGAACTTGGCGGTTGCCCTATGTAGAAGGGACTGGCCAGTCATCTTCGAGGCCGGATATGCACCTAAGGATGTATGTTCCGGATAAATGGCTGACCCCGGGAATAATCTTCTAGGCGAATCAGAATTGAAAGCAGAATGAAATGAAAAAAATTGAAAAGGAAGAGAAAGGAAATTACAGTTTAGAGGGGGTCCGAGTGTGTCGGCCCAATTGACAGGCTTAGTTTTGGTAATACACAACATAGGACATGCTGTTCTCAATAATATGATTTCTGGAAATGAATGTGGGTAGCGTGTCCACAAGACACATTCATTCCCCTGAGGTTCATTGGTAGGTTGGGCGATTTAGAATTGTATTTCGTTCTACCGGTACGGAGTACCATGGAGGTCTTGCCCAGGGTTGTATACCTTGGCATGTAAACGATACTTGTTCCTCGGCCGGAGAATCATGTAATCATACAGTAACTAACTATGATATCTACTAAGGTTCTTCTATGTTGGAATATGAATATGAATAGACGCAATGTGTGCTTTTCAACAGATCGGTAGATTTAGATCGTCATGAACCCGTAGCGTGGAAGACTGGATCCAATTTGGAGATTGAACCAATAGCCTCTAGGATGATTCGCATAATTGCTTGAATCTTGGGTACGATGTACACCGTAAGTATCACTTTCAACCTGGAAGACGCCAAGTGCTATTCGTACATCTTATATCTCATTATACTTAGCCTGCGATATCACCCACGTGTCTGATAGAGACCTCGAATGGAATGCCGTTCCTTGCTTCCATGCTTTCATGATCTGTACATGCCGACGGTGCACTATTGGGCTGGCATTCCGACGGTTTCCTCCCATGCATATGCATTGACATTTTAAACATCATGCCAGTGCCGGGAGGTGTTGCTTTTGCCAGGAACACACCCGATTCTCATCCCGGGTCCGTGAAACAATAGTGCTACTGGTATGCACATTGTGCAATTTTATACATTGGATACATTGTCGGGGATGTATACGGTGGATATGGACGTCCAAGGGTCTATGATGTGTGGGTTCCCAGGCTGGGTCAGTATTGGATATTGAATGGAATCCACTATCCTTAAAAGGTAAGCAGTTCGATCCATTGCTGATTGATATTGAGTAGCGTCAGCAAATGGCTGGGCATCTTGTTAGCCGAGACCCGATGGACATATCGGAATCCCGAGTGTACACCTGCAGTCGTGGTACCGATGCATGGTTCTGGATATTTCAGGTTGACGGCGTCAGACCCCTGCTGATGGGGCGTCAAATTCTGTTTTGCCTCGTGTCAAGCAGATTAACTAATGTCGCATGACAAGTTGAACTGTGGCGATTCGGATCCGTCAGCCATGGTCACCTGCTCTCGGTCTGGTGACGTCGATGAGGGGAAGCTATAGTTTAAATTTACGGAGTAGATGGCGAGAATGTAGATATTTCTTTGGAATGCTAAGATATGACAAATGATCTTGCTGGGCGAATTTGCTGAGCATCTATAGAGTTAGGGGAAGAGAATACTATAACTATTGTATATGGTAGTTGATCATAAATAATAAATGCGTTGCCAATCAAATCCAAATGTCACGCTCAAATACCAGTAAATACCAATACAATACAATACAATACACCAGGTAAGCTCCTCAACGTTAACCGTTTAAGCCTGGTGCATCCCTACGGAGTTCAGTCCTCTTTAGTACCTGAGCTGGTGCCAGGAACCAACATTCCTCCCCCCTTCATCAGAGGGTTTCTTTTTCCCACTTAATACCTGAATTCATAATTTATTGTCTTTCTGATACATCTCATTCTGCCTGCCGGTCCAGATCTTTGGTACAAGAGACTGCATGGACGGGACTACGGCTGGAATCCCAACGATGGCGTCGGCTGAGATAGCTTCGACTCACATGCCAAGGAACCCCTGCACCAATGCACTTGATAGCATCGAGATCCCTCGAAAGAATGGAAGTGCAACGGGAGCCCCTTTCAATTCCGATGGATTATCCGGGCCGAAGAGCTGTGACTATTGTATATGGCTTTCCAACCGCTCGGTCTGGATCCCAATTACCGGTGTGTTAATTATTATTATTTTTCTCGGAATGTCCCTGTTATGCAGCGACACAGATAGAAAGCCAAAAATGATTTAGCTAGTCTGTCGTTAGTAGTATACTAGTCGATATTATTAGTTATAGAAGCTGGAATAACTAGTGCCTCCAGCTCCCATTGTCGCTGGGGCCGTCTCTCGGCCCAAGCTC